TCCTGACAGTCATGAACTAGCATTTTGCACTTGGATATATATATATATATAACGCTGGCCTGAGAACAAGCAAGCTTCCAACGCCACAACAATATTAACAATAACTAACGCAGGGGGGTGCGATACAGAGTTTGGAGAAAGAGATGTAACTGTCAGAATGTAAGATTGCGAATAAATGGAGAAACAGTTCCTTTGTGTTTCACCATACAGTTTTTGAATTTTTTTGTGTTTGTTGTTTTTATGGGGCCCGGGGTTTTCCAGGCAAACCGTACAGCATTCGCGCCATTGACTTCTACTCTGGGCCATATCTCTCAGCGTCTCTCACCAACGACAATCCTCATCCTTTGGGCCTCAATCTGGAGGGCGGACTGCACCAATCGAAGCCAAAGCTGAAGGTAGCTTCTTCATCAAGCTCCCGAGGTACTTAAAGCTCTCAACTACTTCCAACTGATCACCACAGAGGGTGAGTGCAGGCACAGACTCCTGCCAGTCTTGAATAAACACTGTGCACTTGGAAGGTGCAAATCACATACCAATCCTGGATACCCCATCGTCAAGCGGTTCAGAGCTTCTTGGACTGCCTGTGTGTTGCCACCCAACAAGGTGATGCTATCGGCATATTCTAAGTCAAGACCTCTGTTCTCTGGGAGGAGTTCGGCTCCACCGTTTTCTAGATCGGACAAAACATTCTGTAGAACATCCGCAATGACAAATTTGAAAAGAAATAGGGATATAGGGTAGCCTTTGATGATGCAAACCACATACCATACCTTGATACCTCTACCACTAAGCGGTTTAAAGCGTGTTGGACTGTGTTGTCACTTAACATTATAAGTAACCAATATAAGATGGTAAAAAATGATAGCAGTCATTCAAAAAGTGTTCTTTTCTAGTGGAATCCGAAACCCGCACGGTGATGAAACGTTCTAACTTCTCATGTATTATTTAATCTTCCTATCTTTGTCATTTCTCGTGTCGTTTAGCGGTTCCTACTTTCGCCCGCATATGCAAATATTCACGACTCTCCTGCTGCGCTTTTTGACAAACTTAATTTTTTTCGTTTCTGGTTTATTTAGCAACAACAGCGAGATTTGAGCTTATCCAGTCTTCGGAGTTTGGTTGTGGTCGCCGAGGAACGACCACGAGTTCAACTGATTGCCACGTTTACCAAACTGTTTTCCAATTTCGGTCTGATGAGTCGTGCCGTGAGCACCTCCTTTGGATGTCGAGTGAATCTGTCCATCTCGCTCCAGGCAAGTGATATTTTTGATGCGTATGAAATTTTCCGTTCCCTTTTAGAGGAATTTCGCGTTGGGAACAATTGATAACTGTTTCTCCGTAGATTCTTTTTATAATCATTACACATCTCTGTGCCATGAACAGCGGACGGTGCAAACCACGTAGTCACCAAAATCTGCTGTTCAGTCATGGAAACCGGTAACCTAAGTCCCGGGACTTGGAGTGGTAAACCACATAATACCCTCACTGGGTTAGGTGTGGTATCGAACCAGACGGCAGCTCTCCCTTTCTGCCAACACTTGATAATCATATCTTAATTGTAATTCAGCATTTTTCCTGAATGAAACTCTCACACACTGAGTGTCCGTAGAGCAAATACGCAGATTGTCTCAACACGGAATGATCCGTTTGACCTTTGATTAATTACACAGCTTAGCACTATTTTGAACACCCGTGGATAATCTCGTGGGTGGTAGACGAAAGTTGTGTTCTTTCGAAAACACTGCCATTTTTTAAATAGGTTGCTAATTTGGGGTCGATAGAAATGAAATGAATGTAATAGGCCTCATTTGGGCAAACCCTATAGACGTAAATATGCCCCGCTCCACTTTATGCAAGGCGCGTCCTAGTTTTGTTCGTCCATCGTTGTGTGTGTGTGTTTGTGTGAATCAACCAGCTGTTAGACTGCAACAGCAACTAACTGATCAATCGATCGCTGTGTCAGCACTTTCCAATCAACCCGGCCCCGAATTCCGTCCGGATAGGTTAGCGCGTGACTCGTTGCATGCATGGGTTGATCTTTCAAGGTCACAGCTAAACTGATTCATGCTAGTTGCCAAATCGGGAAAATCACCCACAAGACTAACACATTTTTTTCGAACAAGCTAAATTCATGTGCGTGTGTGTTCAAAACTGGATTGCTAGAGAGAGAGAAATTCCTTGTCGTATGCATCCACCTTGTTAGGTAGAAATGTTATTTTGCCTATAACTGTCTGTTTTCAAATTTTTTCATAGTTTAAATCTTTTTTTGCTGTGGAAATATCCTCATTGTTGATTGAAAATACCATTCGAGCGAAGTATTCTTGTCGATTTTCATTTTCACGCTTCCACATTAATATACGACCAGAGGGGAACCCTAGAAGTCATTATTCATAATCTAAAACGGAGGGAGAGGTTATAGAGTTGTAGTCATTAGATTAAACTGATTACGCAACACGATCAATCAGTCATCGTTTGGTTTTCTACACAGCGGTTGACTGTGTCACATCGTTAGGCTACGTTTACCTCAAAATACGGATAATAATTCACTTCAATGACTTTTCCAGTAAAATTTTATTGCGCCTTTTTGGGCTTTTCTGTTCATCTTCATTTCCTGATCACTGATTGGTCAATTTTGCGAATTTCCTTGTTCTCACATCAATTTTCGAAGTGTCCTCTATGCACTGAGGTAGCCGTATGCTTGCCCTGCCTCCTGTGTCCAATACATTTTCTTTTGTCTGCCGTTGGCATTCCCGCTGCTTATTCTTGGAGATGGGTGCCAGTGCTGGTGACGTGCTATATTGTTGTGTGATAGTGAATTGAGTCCTTTTTCACCCTCATGGCCACCGATATACCTCTTTTCCGTGTGTATTTACGCATCTAATTCCAAACTCTATGCCAAACGAATCACAGTACAACAGTCTTTATAACAATGAAAGAGGTCCCGCTATTTGCCCATGAGCCGGAACGTAACCAAGTTCAGCAAATATGCTATTCATTCAAGAGACGGTCCAGTGAAAATTATCGCCTCCACTTATCTCTCTAGGCA